GTATACAGACGACCACGGCAACTGTCTTTTTTCCTCACACATCACCAGGCTTGGTAACCACCGTGTCCTATACGTGACACACTATCACGTGCAATGTGTGTGATATACACCTGTACACATCAAGCATTAAAACTGTAGCTGCTGTATTGAGGTGATACATACACTATATATTATATATATCTTCCCTTGCGTTGCAAGCCCTGTCTCTTGTAAAAACAACCACTTTTGTAGATACACACAGTCTCTACGCCTTTATCCTCTGGTCCCTAGGGTCAGCTGACTCCGGGCCAGAGCAAATTTACCGATTGCCAAGGTTTGATGCATAGGCAGTCAAGACCTCTTATTTTTTTTGGGGACTGGCCCGTGGTACCAGCCAATGTTTACTCAAAAAAATATAATATTATATGATATCAATGGTATTAATAAGAAATTCATCCCGTGGGGCACATGCATAAATATCACCTTAATAACACCAGAATGTGTGTGTGTGTGTCTGATCGTCTGTGTGTAATTTCCGGTCAGTTATATTGAAAAAAAAACGGTAAGAGTTACAGGACTGGTTTTTCCGGTATAGTGTCGACAAAACTCTGACGAAGCCCATATGCAATTTTTTTTAAATCAGCCGGCGGTAAGTGGCTTAATTGATGGTTTTTGTACTATTAATGCAACATTATGGAGTGAGCCACTAAAATGGCTCACTTTTTCTTCCTATTCACTATCTATTCTATTACTGCACTGTAGATTGTAGCGTTGGTAATTAGGTTAGCTCCGCAAGTGATATTAAGAGTATAGGGCACTGATTGCGGTCTGTTTAAACTGTAGAGAGAGTTCATACTTTCATACGACAATGTTTATGCGTGTAATACTATAAGCTTATTAGGGGGGGGGGGGGGGGGGGGTAGCCACTCATTGCGGTCTGTTTGTTTACTTTCATACGACAATGTAATGTTTTCAAATATAAGGCGGGTGTGGTGCGGAGTTAATAAGGGTTAATTTAAAGCGGTTTAAGACGGGAGTGATGAGGTGTAATAGTCGTGGTACAGATACTAAATTTGGATACGTGAGGGAACTCCGAATAGAATTGCTCACCTAATGCGGGTTTTCACTCAGCGGGTAATTACTCCTACCCTTTTTAACTGCGGCAGTGAAATCCCGGCCGAAGTCCGGGTTACACTACCTTACTCGGGAATATTATGACTGGGATAAAGTGGTGGGTTTTGGAAAATTCCGCCATATTTTTCCCGGTCATTAATTTTCCCAGTCATAAATTAACCCGCTATTATGTTCCCGAGTAAGGTAAACTAATAGTAATACATTTTGATGCTTGGTGGGTTTTGGAAAATTCCGCCATATTTTTCCCGGTCATTAATTTTCCCAGTCATAAATTAACCCGCTATAATATTCCCGAGTAAGGTAGTTAATATATATAATAATGTAAAGGAAATCTCAAACTATTTAATTTAGACTCTACCGGTAAAGTACAGTGAAGGTTTATAACTTTAAGTTTTATTTCTCAAACGGTGAATAGGTAACAGATAAAAAAGTAAAACAAGACTGAGCACTTTATAATTTTAAGAATTGAGATAATTTTAAGAATTGACTTAGTTTTTTCAATTTTTAAAATGGACGGCGTGTTTGTAACTTGATTTGAAATACGCGGCGATATAAAAGAATGTTGGCAGTGTAATTAATGAGACCCGATATAATAATACCTGTGCAACTCTTGAGAGTGTACAGGTCTAGAGAGTGTACAGGTCTTGAGAGTGTACAGGTCTCGAGAGTGTACAGGTCTTGAGAGTGTACAGGTCTTGAGAGTGTACAGGTCTTGAGAGTGTACAGGTCTTGAGAGTGTACAGGTCTTGAGAGTGTACAGGTCTTGAGAGTGTACAGGTCTTGAGAGTGTACAGGTCTTGAGAGTGTACAGGTCTTGAGAGTGTACAGGTCTTGAGAGTGTACAGGTCTTGAGAGTGTACAGGTCTTGAGAGTGTACAGGTCTTGAGAGTGTACAGGTCTTGAGAGTGTACAGGTCTTGAGAGTGTACAGGTCTTGAGAGTGTACAGGTCTTGAGAGTGTACAGGTCTTGAGAGTGTACAGGTCTTGAGAGTGTACAGGTCTTGAGAGTGTACAGGTCTTGAGAGTGTACAGGTCTTGAGAGTGTACAGGTCTTGAGAGTGTACAGGTCTTGAGAGTGTACAGGTCTTGAGAGTGTACAGGTCTTGAGAGTGTACAGGTCTTGAGAGTGTACAGGTCTTGAGAGTGTACAGGTCTTGAGAGTGTACAGGTCTTGAGAGTGTACAGGTCTTGAGAGTGTACAGGTCTTGAGAGTGTACAGGTCTTGAGAGTGTACAGGTCTTGAGAGTGTACAGGTCTTGAGAGTGTACAGGTCTTGAGAGTGTACAGGTCTTGAGAGTGTACAGGTCTTGAGAGTGTATAGGTCTTGAGAGTGTACAGGTCTTGAGAGTGTACAGGTCTTGAGAGTGTACAGGTCTTGAGAGTGTACAGGTCTTGAGAGTGTACAGGTCTTGAGAGTGTACAGGTCTTGAGAGTGTACAGGTCTTGAGAGTGTACAGGTCTTGAGAGTGTACAGGTCTTGAGAGTGTACAGGTCTTGAGAGTGTACAGGTCTTGAGAGTGTACAGGTCTTGAGAGTGTACAGGTCTTGAGAGTGTACAGGTCTTGAGAGTGTACAGGTCTTGAGAGTGTACAGGTCTTGAGAGTGTACAGGTCTTGAGAGTGTACAGGTCTTGAGAGTGTACAGGTCTTGAGAGTGTACAGGTCTTGAGAGTGTACAGGTCTTGAGAGTGTACAGGTCTTGAGAGTGTACAGGTCTTGAGAGTGTACAGGTCTTGAGAGTGTACAGGTCTTAAGAGTGTACAGGTCTTAAGAGTGTACAGGTCTTAAGAGTGTAGAGGCGTCAGTGATTATTAAAACTCTGTCACGTGTCAAAACAAATACTGCTTTAATATTCTCACTGTACTGTCCACTGTACTGTCCACTGTACTGTCCACTGTGCTGTCCACTGTACTGTCCACTGTACTGTCCACTGTACTGTCCACTGTACTGTCCACTGTACTGTCCACTGTACTGTCCACTGTACTGTCCACTGTACTGTCCACTGTACTGTCCACTGTAATGTCCACTGTACTGTCCACTGAACTGTCCACTGTACTGTCCACTGTTCTGTCCACAAGTACTGTCCACTGTACTGTCCACTGTACTGTCCACTGTACTGTCCACTGTACTGTCCACTGTACTGTCCACTGTACTGTCCACTGTACTGTCCACTGTACTGTCCACTGTAATGTCCACTGTACTGTCCACTGAACTGTCCACTGTACTGTCCACTGTTCTGTCCACAAGTACTGTCCACTGTACTGTCCACTGTACTGTCCACTGTACTGTCCACTGTACTGTCCACTGTACTGTCCACTGTACTGTCCACTGTACTGTCCACTGTACTGTCCACTGTACTGTCCACTGTACTGTCCACTGTACTGTCCACTGTACTGTCCACTGTACTGTCCACTGTACTTTCCACTGTACTGTCCACTGTACTGTCCACAAGTTCCCAGATAAATTATGGTTATAATATTTTATAACAGTGTGACCATGCTTTTTTGTTGGCAAAGAACTTTATTCACTGTTAAACCATCACCTTTGCTACGTAAAATTTAATCTAATTTAGGTTCTTACGGTAATTTGATTTATATTTTCATGAATACCCTGTTCAGAATAACGAATTTCCTCAGAGAAAAAATCGGCAAAATCATGTGCTTTTATTCTTACTGATTTCTTTAACACGTGGTTTAAAAATAATAGCGGATATCTATAGATACATATTATCAAGCAACTTCTGCTAATTGTTCACAACACTTTGAGAATGATGAAGAATCGCAACGAAATGTAAGCGTTACAGTTTGTTATACTTAAATGCAATATACAAACTACACGTTACACGCAGCTACACGTTACAAACTACACGTTACAAACTACAAGTTACAAACTACTACATCTCTAAATACTTTTGGCAAGGTACTATGGGGTGAGACACACACACACACACACACACACACACACACACACACACACACACACACACACACACACACACACACACACACACACACACACACACACACACACACACACACACACACACACACACACACACACACACACACACACACACACACACACACACACACACACACACACACACACACACACACACACACACACACACACACACACACACACACACACACACACACACACACACACACACACACACACACACACACACACACACACACACACACACACACACACACACACACACTGTTCCTCACTGATAGTGTGATATTTTGATGCGGTTACAAATATGAAAATCTAAATACTACAAGAATTACTTTATATATTACATCTACAAATAGAATTATATCTCGTAAATATGACATTATCTCACACCATCGCACGTAATTCGTTAAGTAGGCACATCAGTATTTCTCTTCTGTAATCTGATGAAACTCTGCCAGATGGAATTCCCAAAGGATTGACATGTTATAATGGGGGGGGGGGGGGGGGCTCACGTTATAATGGGGGGGGGGGGGGGGGCTCACGTTATAATATAACAGTAGGATAATAAGTAGTGTCAGTGTTTACCACCTGTTTACCACCTGTTTACCACCTGTTTACCACTTGTTTACCACCTGTTTACCACCTGTTTACCGCCTGTTTACCACCTGTTTACCACCTGTTTACCACCTGTTTACCACCCGTTAATCTTAAGATCGTATGCATGGGGGGGTAATATTTGGACAGAAAAATATCATGATCACCCCTCACCCCTCACCCTCACCCCTCACCCCTCACCCCTCACCCCTCACCCCTCACCCCTCACCCCTCACCCCTCACCCCTCACCCCTCACCCCTCACCCCTCGCCCCTAACCCCTCACCCTTCACCCCTCACCCATAGGTTTGTTAGATAGGAAAACAATTACCTTGTGTATCTGGTTAGTGAGACAAACGTAGATGGTGAAAGTAGCTCCGAACACAAGGAGAGAGAAGTTTTGCAGCATCCACTCCTCCCCGTACAGATAGCAACTGTAGGGGTTATCTTATTAGTTAATTATAAGTAATCCCCCCGTACAGATAGCAACTGTAGCAATTATAAGTTAGTTATCTCATTAGTTACCACGTACTTTAGGTAGGTAGTAACTAATTAGGTAGTGTCCATTTAAATAAATAATGACACTTTTTAGGTATTAGATTAATCCTGTTTACATATTTATATTATATTATTAAAATATTAAAAAATATATAACGTGTGTGATAATACACACGTGTAACCCACGTGATAATACACACGTGTAACCCACTTGTTACTCACCAGGAAAGTAAGGGAACTAGGAACAAGTTGGATAACATGCAGTTATCTCCGTTCGTCTCAACTATGTCGTGTTTTGTCATGGCAACCGGGTCCACGTGGTGCTCCCGAAACGGTCTGATAAACGCCTGAAAATATAGGTGTTAGCTTAGGGGGGGGGGGGGGGGGGGGGTACTGGTCCTTACTTAACAAGTAGACACATTAGTACACTACATTAGTACACTACATATCTGTAGTTTATAGGAAGAGAGTGGGGCACTCCTATAAACTATATATATAACTACTATATAAAATACGTAGGTTGGAACTTTCTTATTAGTTCTAGAAGATGTTCGAGAAACACAATTTGCGACAACAGTTTTGTGAGAATAATCTTTATATTAGATTTGAAAAATTTCAAACCTTTTAAACAAATCTTAGTCAAAAGGTATACATGGTACCCGAAGTGAATATGTAGTGAAGGTGCAGTAAAGGTGAAGTGAAGGTGCAGTAAAGGTGTAGTAATGGTAAAGCAAAGGTGTAATAAAGGTGTAGTGAAGGTGTAGTTAAGTTATTACGTATCACTTACTTGTCCTATGATAGGTATATTCACGGTTCCCCATGTATCTGCTGCCCAATGGACTAGACCGGACATGAAATCTGCTAACAATGCACCAAACACTGTAAAAACAGTTTAGTTAGGTGTATCTAACGTTAGATATTTTATCTGAAGGAACACACAAATCAGATGTCTGTTATTTGTATCTGAAAAACACACACGATACAAATTTTTGTTGATGTCGCATGTCGAGAGCCTAAAACTATTTTTTTTAAATAATAGATTTTCAATAGTTGCGAATTGAGGTCATAACATCACCAGTAATTACTATGTGCCGTAACATCACCAGTAATTACTAAGTGCCATAACATCACCAGTAATTACTAAGTGCCATAACATCACCAGTAATTACTAAGTGCCGTAACATCACCAGTAATTACTAAGTGCCATAACATCACCAGTAATTACTAAGTGCCGTAACATCACCAGTAATTACTAAGTGCCATAACATCACCAGTAATTACTAAGTGCCATAACATCACCAGTAATTACTAAGTGCCGTAACATCACCAGTAATTACTAAGTGCCATAACATCACTAGTAATTACTAAGTGCCATAACATCACCAGTAATTACTAAGTGCCATAACATCACTAGTAATTACTAAGTGCCATAACATCACTAGTAATTACTAAGTGCCATAACATCACCAGTAATTATTAAGTACCATAACATCACCAGTAATTACTAAGTGCCATAACATCACCAGTAATTACTAAGTGCCGTAACATCACCAGTAATTACTAAGTGCCATAACATCACCAGTAATTACTAAGTGCCATAACATCACCAGTAATTACTAAGTGCCATAACATCACCAGTAATTACTAAGTGCCATAACATCACCAGTAATTACTAAGTGCCATAACATCACTAGTAATTACTAAGTGCCATAACATCACCAGTAATTACTAAGTGCCATAACATCACCAGTAATTACTAAGTGCTGTAACATCACCAGTAATTACTAAGTGCCATAACATCACCAGTAATTACTAAGTGCCATAACATCACCAGTAATTACTAAGTGCCATAACATCACCAGTAATTACTAAGTGCCATAACATCACCAGTAATTACTAAGTGCCATAACATCACCAGTAATTATTAAGTGCCATAACATCACCAGTAATTACTAAGTGCCATAACATCACCAGTAATTATTAAGTGCCATAACATCACCAGTAATTATTAAGTGCCATAACATCACCAGTAATTACTAAGTGCCATAACATCACCAGTAATTACTAAGTGCTGTAACATCACCAGTAATTATTAAGTGCCATAACATCACAAGTAATTATTAAGTGCCATAACATCACCAGTAATTACTAAGTGCCATAACATCACCAGTAATTACTAAGTGCCATAACATCACTAGTAATTACTAAGTGCCATAACATCACTAGTAATTACTAAGTGCCATAACATCACCAGTAATTACTAAGTGCCGTAACATCACTAGTAATTACTAAGTGCCATAACATCATCAGTAATTACTAAGTGCCATAACATCACCAGTAATTACTAAGTGCCATAACATCACTAGTAATTACTAAGTGCCATAACATCACTAGTAATTACTAAGTGCCATAACATCACCAGTAATTACTAAGTGCCGTAACATCACTAGTAATTACTAAGTGCCATAACATCACCAGTAATTACTAAGTGCCATAACATCACCAGTAATTACTAAGTGCCATAACATCACCAGTAATTACTATGTGCCGCAAAGCAATTCCAATTTCAACACTTTAATTGTCTTCAATACAGAAGCTTTGATGAGGTTTCCAAATTTAGTATTACATACTGTCCAGTGTACAAATACGATTCCTAAAAGATAGAATGCTTGTTGTATAATAATACAGTGAACAAAGGAAACATTACTGGGGGGGGGGGGGGGGGGGGGGTTACTGGTCTGGTGTTTGGTTGAAAAGTTTGCCTAATTTTATGACAATGAGTCACAATTAGTGGTTTTTGTATAAATGTACATACCTAAGGACATTATGAAAGCTCCAAAGTATTGCCTCTTAAAATGATACGTTACAAGAGTCATAATGGTCAGCTGGAGGATAACAAATGAAACCATCATCGTTATTTCAAACATCCTTTTCTCTGAAAATAGACAATATACAGGGATTTCCCTCACATCTGTACACAATTTTGCATTGTGAGATGCAATTTTAGAGAATTTTCGCATGAGATGTTGTTGGAATTCCAACCAATAATTTTCACAATTTACAAACAAAGAATAATGATTTAAATTACCTTTTGTGTAACCAGCTTTTAAGAGTGCAGCACTTTTAGAGTTCTTCTTGAGAACAGGCTTCTTTTGTTCTTTGGTAACTCGTTTGTGAACATACGCTGAGGTGAGATGAATAAACATATCATGACTTTAACAAGAAAGTACCAAAATATAGTTGATAATCGTTCTTCCTGACTGAATTACCGAAAATGAATACTTCTATCCAAGAAAACAGCTAATTTGAACAAGTAAAGAAAGGAACATTAAGTAATGGGAAAGTGTGAGTCATTATGAACTTTTAATTGATGTTTTGGGACAAAGTGAGAGTCTCCACTCAGTTTTTCAAACAAATAGTTGTCAACGTTTCGGCCCACGTTCTTGTCATGGAAAAGACGATACAATTACGTTACATAGCTCAATAAATGTAATAGATTTGTAGTGTTGTAATTAGTTTAAAACTCAACGTTGACAACTATTTGTTTGAAAAACTGAGTGGAGACTCTCACTTAGTCCCAAAACATCAATTATATGATCGACCCACTCAAAAGAACGAAAACAGATTGTCATTATGAACTTTAACAGCAGCAATATTGAAATAAAACTTGACTTACAGTTATGATAAACAGGTTACCTGAAGATGTTTCAGCAGTGATGAGTGGAAGAGACTCTGGCTTCATAGACTTTGACAGCTCTGATGCCATGTCCCTCAGTACCTTGGAGGTCTCCATTGCTGAGATAAAATTACTAAAATCTTTGAAAAGCACAAGATATGGGACTGTACAACGGTAAAATTTGTTTTTAGATGAGAATAACCAAGAATAAATGCCTAGTGAAATAGCATTTCATGTTTACTTCTTAATGTACAGCTATGATTTACCGAATTGACATGTGAACTCTACCCCAGATCTAGCCCATTTCTATGTCAATTATATTCAATCCATGGATCACATCACTAATTATACGTCACTAATTGGTGACGTGATCTGACCCCTCTTGGGGGCCGGATCAGTTTCCTGGCCCAAAGTCTCCCAGTGAGTGAAATCTCCAAACCAAGTTGTCAATCAGAATTATATGTGGTCTAATGGTAAAACGGATTGGTCTAGATGATGGCAAATTCTTAACTTGTTATTTCCAAGTTGTGCAGCCTCACCAAATCTATGAAGTGGTCAATTATGGACAACTATTGATCCAGTCTGACTGAAAAATCGGAGTATTTCTCTGTAGATAGGCTTACATTGTTGCCAAGGAAGAGTGGTGATGTTTCATCTTCTCAAAAGTAATTATAGCACATTTACTTTTTCAACTAAGCTTCAAATTGAAAACGATTGAATATGGTTTCAACAAATTGCCATCTTAAACATGGATCACTTCCGCACTAATAGCTGATTCTGCTAAATTTGGTGTCCAAATAGAGCTATTAAATCCTGGTACCGGTCATATTTGACTGATCCCAACCAATTTCAAACTGGATGAAAATTCTGGTCCCGGTCAAAATTGACCAATCCCGGTACCGGTCCCAGTCATTTCAAAATTCTTATCCTGGTCGTTTGATGTCTTTAATAGCATAAGGAGATAGTCCTGTGATCATAGACCTTTTAAGGTCCCTGTTGGTACACTTTCTCCAGATTCATCGATTTTTAAATCTAGAAACACACTTTTTTACCGGCCTATCCTTATTTTCCCAAGCTACCCTGTCTAGGAAAAGTCCAAATTAGGTTCAGTTGTCCGGTAGCCACTTGGTTGTTTAGGCCAATATATTAAAGATAATTTTTAAACTTTAGTAGATATATTTTTGATGATGTGTGATGATGTTTGTGTCATTATATTTTGATTTGATTTGATTTATCCTCTAAAATCATATAATTTGTTCAATTTTAGGGAGGGGTGCCAAAAAGGGAGGAGGCACCAACAGCGGGGGCGCCAACAGGCAACGTTACGCCACTATCATCCACCAGATGAAGCTGGGGCGTTTTTAGGCAAGATTCATTACACCATAAAGAGACAGATTTTCATTTCTATGAGCAGATGGGAATTGGCTTTTTACTATGATAAAAATTAAAGAACAAATATGAAAGTATCGAGTCATGTAAAAAACCCCGTTATATAGCAAACCTTAAAATTAGGGCTGTGGTTCGTTAAGGATACGGTTAGATTCGGGGCTGGGGTTTATAGTTGTTGGTTTAATGTTTATATTATGGTTTATATTTATTATTTATATCACGTCGTGACCCCCATTGTCGTTTCACTAATTTTACTATAGTATCGTGGCTACGATACAGCCACGTGTTTGTGCGCGGCAGGTCTTCAACGTATAACGAGTTTATATGGTTTATATTTTTATTATCTTTAATTACTAATCCAATCGTTTAATTAGATAAGAAATAGAAAAAATTTTCATTATTTTTTTTAGTAAAACAAAATTTATATTTTATTGCCATATTACAATAAATAATAATATCATAATAAACATAGTTAAAATTGAACATCCGATAATAAACTCATAAATATTAAATATGTTAATGAAATGCAAAATACGCTTTTTACTTTATACTTGTATTACGTCGTGACCACCACTGTCGTTTCACTGTAGTGAAATTCCCTATAGAGTCTCAACGATACAGGGGAGCCGCGCACTCCTGCGCAGCAGGTCATACTTGTATCACGTCGTGACCCCCACGGTCGTTTCACTATGGTAGTGAACCCTGTAGAGTTTCTACGATACAGGGGAGCCGCGGAAGCGTACGCGGCGGGTCATACAACGTATGACAAGGTTTTGTAGCGCGATGCGCCGAGCTGAAATGAATTGACATCGTCAATTAAATGCACGATAAACTATTTGAGCGAGCGATTTAGTGAGCGCGCCCAGTGAAGCTAAGGATGTTCATAAAAATAAGCCAGTACACCGATTAAAAATATGACTGAATGATAATGGCAAGTGGACAGGCTAAGCTGTAAGCGCCTTTCACTTTTCAGTAAACGAGTGATACTCGTGACATATTTGTTTGATACATGTTACGTATTCCATATTTGCGCGCGAAAAGTGGTTGCAGTGTTTTAAAGTTTTAAGAGAACTCTCCTTAAATTATTTTAATGCAGTCACTCAGATAAGTTTTATACCAGGACACTTCAACAAAGACACATACTCTGCCCACAATAAGGGGCCATAATTGTCTCAATTATTGAACTAAATTGAATTATTATTATTATTCCACCTAGATAACTCAGCACAGTTAGACATGAAAAAAGAGGTGCTCTGTTTGCAGTAGAGGGTATCATTGGACATCAGACTACGTGGCCAGCTGACATTCATCATATTTTTAGGTCGTTACGGTGACATGTGTCTAGTTTATCTCAACACAATTAAGGCATTCCTCAGCAACTAGAATTATACATTAGGATTGATACTATTTGGGCTTCATAAACCACCAGCTTTTCTGTACTTACTCTAGGGTGGCTAACATACTTCTTTTGGTGACATCTTTCCTACTTTCTAGCAGAGGAGCCAACATAACAACTTGCCACTACACCATTCTGTGTTCATTCTAAGGGGTTTACCATCATCCATTGCATCACCTCATCTTTCTCAGCGATATGGACGTGCACAAACTCACTCTAGGGATTCGATAACATTTAGGTTTAACTCTTTATACAGCCTTGTAGCGATAGAGAGGAGGGCTTCTAGCACATCTTTATCTTCACCAAGGAGGTCAATGTTATCAAAGCAAGCATTCTCTTCAGGCACTAGGGCTAATAGGAGGGGTAAGGGAACCGTCACAGCACGCAGGTGGTAGCAGGCACCAGCTAGAGTTAGTGATACCTGATACACTATCACCTTGAGGTCCACTGTTGGTGCTGATCAATTCAAGGAAGATAGCTTCATTGACTAGCACCTTGTTCTTGGTATTGCTCAGGAGGAATCTCACTAGCCTGATGTCATCTCTTGTGCATCCTGCATCGTCTAGGAGGTTGAGCACAGTCTGTCTACTAATACCTTGTGGCCCATCTTGTGGAAAGACCATTCTATTTCTTTGACTATGACTATTAATAACTTTGGTTTGAATGTCCTTCACAGCAGATTAAAGCTTTTTAAAATATTATTTTTTATTCTAATTGTAATCTTATACAATATATTATTCTAATTCTAATTCTAATTGTAACTCATAGTGGTTAGAGCTGAGGTTTTTAATATAATATTAAAAAAGTTAAATAAACTGGTCACCTGTTGATTTGAATTTTTACCCTATTGTCTTCTTTAGGTACTGATATGCTTTCCTGTCGTTCACTTAAGGTATGCTATGTACATATAATACTATCAGTAACTCAAGAGTGTTTATACTATTACTGTTTTTCTTTAATTATCAGTCTGGAAATGGTATGACTTAATTCGTATCCAGTTTTAAAATTAACCATATCGTAAAGTTGCAACATATCATAATGTTTCTATATCCGTTTTACTTAAATCTGAAAACTCTAAATAAAGGTACAAGGTTGGTTACAAAGAAACAGTACAGATTTTCTTTATGATATGTCACACTAATCTTGAACTGCAATATATTCTCAGGGCCAGTGTCTTAATCTACTATGGCGACAAAAAACATGCTTATCCAGTCTGCAGAGTAAAAATGTGGCAGTGAGAAAATCAGAGAGTCTTAGAAATAAGCCCAAACTTGAAGAACTAGTTTTTGGTAAGTTTTGCAAGTTCTTATGTTTGTTGTCTGGAGAAATGTACAATTTGACAACTTGGGTTGTCAGAGTCACTATGATCACAGATTTCCAAGTTTCCAATACATATCATTACTTTGCTCAGTTTGCTGTTTACTGTAACTCATAGTCTGGTAACATTATGAACTTACAACTTAGTTTATTTGCAGGAAAGTTTTTCTCTGATCACATGTTAGTTTGTGATTACGATGATGCTGAGGGGTGGAAAGATCCTCAGATTATGCCCTTTGGAGTAGGTTGCTTTGTAACACTGATTAAATGTGCCTTTATAAACTATTGTGTTATTTCTTCACATATCTGAATACCTGTGGGGAGATTCACCAATTATAGGATCAGGAGGGGTAGGGGAACCGTCACAGCACGCAGGTGGTAGCAGGCACCAGCTAGAGTTAGTGATGCCTGATACACTATCACCTTGAGGTCCACTGTTGGTGCTGATCATAATTATGTCTGTTGCAGGATTTCCAGCTTTCCCCAGCAATTTCCTCACTACATTACGCTATACAGTGTTTTGAAGGAATGAAAGCGTACAGAACTTCAGATAATGACGTCAGATTGTTCAGACCAAATCTTAATATTCAGAGGATGCAGCGCACTGGAAAAGTGCTGACATTGCCGGTAAATTGTTGAACGGCTTGTACTCAGTTGTACTGTTTAATTCTAAGCTACAACACATATTTAAATAAAGTTGATCGTAAATAGGTAAATTTCCGGAATCTAGGCTATTGAATATGGTGTGGAGGCAAATTCTCGAGGAACGTTTTGACGTTGTTGATTTCATTGTCTCCCGAATTTTCTGTACACCAATGACACTGCGACTAAAGGAACTAATGACAAATATAACAATAACAAAGTAACAAAAATAGCCAATATTTCGGTACAGACGGTACCTTCTGTACCCAGTGACATAAATTTAAAAAGGGACTAGGAATCCAGTCTGGAAAGAAAAAACGGCTACCATATATTTTACCATAACTTTTTCGGCCGCTCAGTCGGTGGCTGTGGAAATATTATGGCTAGGAATTAGATTCTTAGATTCCTCACTTTATGCCACTGGGCTTCTGTACCGAAATATTGGCTATTTTTGTTACTTTGTTATTGTTATATTTGTCATTAGTTCTTTTAGTCGCAGTGTCATTGGTGTACAGAAAATTGGAGAGAATATGAAATCAACAACGTGGAATCTAGGCTAAACAAATGTTAATAATTTACTCCGCAGTAAGAAAGTGTACAATAAAAGCCTTATTACAGGAATTTGACGGAGACGAGTTCCTGAAACTATTAAAACAGTTAATACAGCTGGACAGTGATTGGGTCCCTGACACACAGGCAGCTTCCCTTTACATCAGACCTACCTTCATTAGTACTGACGTGAGTTATACTATATTATACTAGCAGCTTCCCTTTACATCAGACCTACCTTCATTAGTACTGACGTGAGTTATACTAGTCTCTTTTCCCCGTTCTCAAATTGTGGTGACGTTAGTTAGCGGCAGTATATGGAGTAATGTTACATAGTTAGTTATCTGTTTAAAGTGTGTATAAAATTTACTAAATTTGGTTATTAAGTGTTATAGGATAATGTTTCAATTAAATTGTCTCTTATGACCTTTTGTAATTAGTCCTCAATTAGTTCTCAATTAGTTCTTAATTAGGTTTTACTCATTCAACCGTAAACCTACTACAGTGAGTAACATATTGAGTGAGTAGCTACTGCAATACTCGATACTGATAATCTATAGGTGCTTGATATGTAGGATTTGTTGTGTTGGTTGTACGGCAGAGGTCCGATACACTTTACAGTGCATATCATGTATATATTGTATAGTGATTATACTATATAATGGTATGTGGTGTATGTATATGTATAGTAGTTTAAATACTATATGATAATATGGTATGTGTGGTGTATGCGATGACACACGTGCATTCTTACTTATGTGTATATCCTTGTATAATACATAATTAAGGCTTTTACATATCTCAAGATTGACAGTAATACACGTCACTCAGGGAAATAATTTAACTTAAATTGGGGGGTTGGTGGAGGTGGACCTGTTCAGTTTATTAAACTCTTACTTACTGAACACTTTAATAGCACAGCAATGTATTTCAGACCAAACCTCCAAATACCAGTGAGATGTCTGTTAACGTAATTACCGAATATTACTGACTAGAATACCGTAGGGAATTCGGGCCCATAACCAACCTTGTAATCTGAGAAGACGAGTTACTGGTCCTCTTTTTAACGTTTTATAATTATGTGTACGTGACCTACCTGTGTGATTTTATCAAGAAACGGATTGTTTGTGATCTGCTGTGAATTGAGAACTGATTGGTTTGTAGACTAGAGACCAATCAGAGTCGAGAGAGATGTTTCCCGGCACTGTATATATCTTGAATAATAAACATATAAATATATTATAATAAATAATATACTTTGGGAGGTCTGTTGACAGTGCTCTGTCGGCTAGCCGAGAGCGGAATACTAAGTGTTTCTACTAGGGTTTATAATGTTTAATATTAAGCGACTGCATGAATAGTGTGATGACGTGTTACTGACCTTGATCTTTCGGTATCTGATTAGGTTACTCATTACATATAATGATAGTCACGTGGGTTACCAGTTAGTCACGTGGGTTACTCGCTACATTACTATGCTTGGTGTAGCTCGTTACATATATAATGATTACGACTTAGGTTTAGATTTTTCTAGAAGTTCTTCCTAAATTAACTTAAGTTATGACGTCATATATTAGTATTACTATATTATAGTCTATATCCGATATATGCTTGTAATATTTCTTATGTTATACGTAGGGTTCTCAAACAGGAGGATCAATATATATTATAAGTTAACATTCAATGTCCATTTGAGTTTGTTTGTGATTTAAATCAAGTTGTCTTTTATTTTTAATGTCTTTAAAGGCCCATTAGTTCAATAGTTAAGAATGAAATTTCTATAAACTTTTGATTTCCGGTTTTGGAATCAGGATAGTTATATTCTGTGAACTAAAACAGTGAACCAGAACTGTGAACCAGACCAGTGAACACTGCAGTGGCGCCACTGGAACACTGTAAATCTCGCGGACGAATATGTGTACTCTCTTAATTGCATGAAACATTTCACACAAACTGGTGAACACCTTGTACACACTCTACTTCTACCATACTACCAGATGTACTGGTGAACACCTTGTACACACTCTACTTCTACCATACTACCAGATGTACTGGTGAACACCTTGTACACACTCTACTTCTACCATACTACCAGATGTACTGGTGAACACCTTGTACACACTCTACTTCTACCATACTACCAGATGTACATGAAACAAGGTGTAATATAGAGACCTAGTTGCCAACCACCACAGCAAAATGTAATTAGAACCAGATCTGGAGTGAGGTAGTCAATAATTGATGGTTCCTGTTATATTTCATAACATTAGGTAACATTAACTACATAGAGGTAGGTAGGTAATAATAAAGAACAAATTCAAAAGTCAACGATTTAAAAAATAACAATATTTAAAACTAGAAAATTTTATTTCAGTTACCTTCAATTTTAAATTGAAAAGTTATTTCAATCGAAGGACGATTTGCTGAAATTTAGCTGCGGATAAATTCAGTATTGGGGCAAGTAGCGCAGTTGGTTAGAACGCCAGCTTTGCAATCGTGAGGTTGCGGGTTCAAATCCCACTGTCTGCCTGGTCGTGGGGTGAGCGTCGTAAAGTAAAGTAAAGAGGGTTAAATGAGGAGCTGCACATTGCAGCAAAGTCTCGGGCGAAGAAAGTATGGTACACACTACCTTAACCGTCAATGGCTAACAAAAATCCTTCGGCTTCCTGTAATTGGCTGGTTGCACTTGTGTCTTTGTGTAACAATGTGGCTGTTGGAATACTCCGAAGTAAAATAAGTGTCGTGATAAAAAATCTTGAACAGTAAATGTAAGATAAATTGTAGTACTGCACACTGCACACTGTACAGTGTACACTGCACACTACACACTGCACACTGCACACTGCACACTGCACAGATAATATTATAGCTGAATCACTTCAAAGTTAATTGCATATAACAATGGAAAAGTAATTCCTTAAAACAGTAATCACTAAAACTAAAAGACCAACAAATATTACTCCACATTATAACACACATGATTTCTTTTAATCAGCGAGCAAAACGTTAAACTTAAGTCTGTATGAATCCAAATATTTCAATATATTTCAAATATTTCAATATCAGGAATAGTTTCACCAGAATATGTTCTCCACTTCTCCCTATTTGAAATTTCGTTCAAACTTCAAACGGAAATGTCTTCATTCGAACTTGTGCCGGTGGAACGTGTCTCTGACGCGCTACTACTTGGCGGTGGAGATGCAAGACATTCTTGGCCTGGTAGCACTCCAGCTCGGATCGGAACCCAAGTAACCCAAGTAAGTAAATTACCCCAATCAAGTAAAGTATCTCTCCTAAATAACAAGGTCTGTGTTACTGTTGTGTGCGTAGTATGTCTCCTAATTAGCTGCACGGGACCTGGCACAATCCACAGAAGCTTTGAGAGGAGGAAGTTCCGGAAACTTCTTATCATGAGAGCGTAGATGTAGAAGTTAGACGTGATGTTTATCATGACAAAGAAACTGCTTACTCTAAAGAAATGGATGTGAAACTTGTCATTTGACTCTTTTACAGAGTGTTTTCCTAAGAAGAATACTGCCAGCGGCAAAGTAGAAATGCAGTAAACAACAGCAGTGAGCGCCACAGTCCCTGCTCCTTGCCATGGAACACTTCCTCCAACTCGTCTAGCTGACTTCCAAGCATTAACCAGGTACCTCAGTGTGGGAACTGTGGTGGCGACAATGATAACGTTAGGAGCTACAAGGTAGATTAGAGTCGTTAGAGGAAGTATTTTCCTCCATATTTGGGAATTGAAACCATATTCGCAGTTGTAGGTCCGGTAGTCGAAGTAAACATCATCCTTGTCTACTGCGAGCTTTATTGATACATTGAGGAGTGCGAAAGTCCAGACAAAGCTGCAAACTAGATGAGCTCTTTTAGAGAAGCTAGCTGCTCTGAGAGGATATCTTATTATCAGGAGCTTGCTTGTAGTGAGCACTGTGATGAGACCAATGCTAACAAGGTAGGAAAGGTTGCCAGTATAAACCCTAATACAGCACAAAGCATTTCCTAGATCCCAGGTATTAGCCAGCAAAGAGATTAAACTTGGTAGAACTGATGATATTGCAGCTGTAAGATCAGATACTGCTAGATGCTGGATTACTGTCACTATGAACTTGTTGACTTTGAAGGCGTCCTTCTGGAACGATGCAATGAGAATTAGAGTGTCTCCAATGAGAGAAGAAATAACAGCGAATATATGGTATGCTGCCCAGGTGTATCTCTCTGTATTGTTTTGTATTCCAAAGTGGATGTTGGAGTAGTTACTTGATGTGGTCATGAGGAATCTGGTTTATCTTTTAATGAAAACATTTGATTATATTTACTGAACACTATTATATAATGTGTTGTTTACTGAAGAGATAAACTTAAAAAGGGTAAAAGTGAGTCAAAACGTTGGAAAGTGGCGTCATCATGGTTAGTGTGCCCACTTCAGATTTGAAGGTAAAATTTAGTGCTAAGTCCAAAAATAAATCCCAACAGTTCGTTTTAAGAAACATTTCACCAGAAGAACTGCCACAAAAAGATTAAGACAACATCAACAAATTCATCACTGGATCATTCTTGTGAGCGGGGGTATAGGACACTAGGAACAACATCAACAAATTCATCACTGGATCATTCTTGTGAGCGGGGGTATAGGACACTAGGAACAACATCAACAAATTCATCACTGGATCATTCTTGTGAGCGGGGGTATAGGACACTAGGAACAACATTAACAAATTCATCACTGGATCATTCTTGTGAGCGGGGGTATAGGACACTAGGAACAACATCAACAAATTCATCACTGGATCATTCTTGTGAGCGGGGGTATAGGACACTAGGAACAACATCAACATATTCATCACTGGATCATTCTTGTGAGCGGGGGTATAGGACACTAGGAACAACATCAACAAATTCATCACTGGATCATTCTCGTGAGCGGGGGTATAGGACACTAGGAACAACATTAACAAATTCATCACTGGATCATTCTTGTGAGCGGGGGTATAGGACACTAGGAACAACATCAACATATTCATCACTGGATCATTCTTGTGAGCGGGGGTATAGGACACTAGGAACAACATCAACATATTCATCACTGGATCATTCTTGTGAGCGGGGGTATAGGACACTAGGAACAACATCAACAAATTCATCACTGGATCATTCTCGTGAGCGGGGGTATAGGACACTAGGAACAACATTAACAAATTCATCACTGGATCATTCTTGTGAGCGGGGGTATAGGACACTAGGAACAACATTAACATATTCATCACTGGATCATTCTTGTGAGCGGGGGTATAGGACACTAGGAACAACATCAACATATTCATCACTGGATCATTCTTGTGAGCGGGGGTATAGGACACTAGGAACAACATCAACATATTCATCACTGGATCATTCTTGTGAGCGGGGGTATAGGACACTAGGAACAACATCAACAAATTCATCACTGGATCATTCTTGTGAGCGGGGGTATAGGACACTAGGAACAACATCAACATATTCATCACTGGATCATTCTTGTGAGCGGGGGTATAGGACACTAGGAACAACATCAACATATTCATCACTGGATCATTCTTGTGAGCGGGGGTATAGGACACTAGGAACAACATCAACAAATTCATCACTGGATCATTCTTGTGAGCGGGGGTATAGGACACTAGGAACAACATTAACAAATTCATCACTGGATCATTCTTGTGAGCGGGGGTATAGGACACTAGGAACAACATCAACAAATTCATCACTGGATCATTCTTGTGAGCGGGGGTATAGGACACTAGGAACAACATCAACAAATTCATCACTGGATCATTCTTGTGAGCGGGGGTATAGGACACTAGGGCGTAGGATGCTAGGGCGTAGGACGTAAGAACGGAGGACACGAGCGAGTGGTAATGCTCACTACTATATTATATATATATATATAATATACTACTAATACTACTACTACTACTACTACTACTGCTTAGATGTAATAAAAAGGTGGATGAAGAGATTAATAGGATGAATTGGATAAACATTTTCTAGGATTGAGCAGGCAAATATAAAAATTCTGTACATAACGATTTTGGGTAATACTGTAATAGCACCTGTATTATATATTATATATTATCTTTTTATCGAAAAAGGTAAATCATCTGTTGAGTCTTAAATCTTCAAAAGAAGACATCTCGTGATAAATACTAGTTTGAAGGAAATAACCAAATGCAAAGCGGTGTAAAGTAAAGTGACGGAATGGAACTGACAATGAACAGAGTATGTAAATATATAGAGTACAATTGTTATTATAAACAGTTGCCCTATAAACGGTTACCCACTAAATGATTTTAGATTGTCTGATTTGATGGCGCTCTTCGAACCAAAGAAAAGTTTAGCATATTTTATGGAAATTTGAAACTGGTAGCTCAATGCCCAGGTAGGTAGCTCAATGACAAAAGCAAGATCGAGGTAAACTCTACGTCACAATCTCATGTCGATATTAAGCACTGAATCCCTGCCTGTGCCGGGGGGGGGGGGGGGGGGGGGCCTGTGCCAAATTACCGTATAATTATTGGAAAGCCATTTCACTGTAAAATACTCCAGCTGATCAACTTGTTACAATTAAATACTATATATAATATAATATACATGTTTTGCGGGGTCCTGTTGACGGACCAACGTTTTCTTCCCTCATTTTTGCCATCAATACACTGGACTTACCAGGGAGAAGAGGAAGACCCCAAAGCAATCTATTCTCGCTGATTGTGCATGATTTATGTAAAAAAATCTTTATATGAATCTCCGTAGTTTTGCTTATGATAAGAGATATTGGCAGAAATTACAATGACGTTTTTGATATTTAGTTATTTCTTTTAGGGAAAGATTAGACTTGGGCGTTGTTTTTTAACTATCCCTTGTTTGGAACTTTGATTTGATAATATAATATATAATACTGAAACAATAAGTATTTAGGCTGAAAAACTAACAATAAATACCAGCTGCAGCCTGTGAAGAGTACTTAAACTAAAGTTTGTAGTATTTAAATAAGTAGCTTCACCACACTTTCCTCTCAATTCACGCTTTCTTTCAACCTTCATTACGTGAAGTTTTCTTATCGATAGAAATTTAGATTATAGAATTTAGATTATAATTATTTTATAAATGACTCTTCACAGACTCTATATCTCACAGCCTCTATAATCTATATCATAAAAAGTGTTCGGACGTGTGTTTATTTGCTATTAATAACGTATTTGTAGGTAATTCCTGAATTAATCAAATTAAAATCGAGTGGAATTGAATTTTCACTGATTATGATCTGTACTGTCTACGTCATTAGATCTCACAATTATAGGAGACTAGGACAGATTCTACAGACAGACAGACAGACAGACAGACAGACAGACAGACAGACAGACAGACAGACAGACAGACAGACAGACAGACAGACAGACAGACAGACAGACAGACAGACAGACAGACAGACAGACAGACAGACAGACAGACAGACAGACAGACAGACAGACAGACAGACAGACAGACAGACAGACAGACAGACAGACAGACAGACAGACAGACAGACAGACAGACAGACAGACAGACAGACAGACAGACAGACAGACAGACATACATACAGACAGACAGACAGACAGACAGACAGACAGACAGACAGACAGACAGACAGACAGACAGACAGACAGACAGACAGACAGACAGACAGACAGACAGACAGACAGACAGACAGACAGTACTCTCATAGCCTCGTGAATCTGGAGGATCGTTAAATTATTATTATTTAAAAAAAATAAAAGTTCTAATATAGTTAAAAAACAACGCCCAAGTCTAATCTTTCCCTAAAACAAATAACGCTGGACCCCGTAAAACATGTTCTAACATTCTCCACCGACTACGGGCCACTTTTTGTGACAATGGTTCAGCATTGTAGCGTTTATACAAGTTTTTGTTGAAGATGACTCCTGGGTACTTTATAATAGAGCGACAGATCGTTAAATAGGATGTTGAAATCTTGATTACTTATATTAATGTAGTACAGAACTATTCACAAGACTGATTTGTATAAGTATGAAAACGTCATAAAGTTTGTAGTGACTTTTGGCTTAAACTGGATTATCATTAATTAAATGCAAGTTCAGTATTATAGTGTACAGTGTGTGAAATGTGAAATGTAAAATGTGTAATGTGAAATGTCAAATGTGTCATGGTCTTCCTATTGTATGGGTTAGCTACTTCCACCTTGATGCCACCTGTACAGTGTACAGTACTACAGAGTACAGAATGGTTTTATTTGATAAGTAAAACTTGTTGATCTTACGAAGAAACTTTGAATTGTGACTGTCCAGTGTCCACTGTACTAACAATATCACGCTAAATTCCTGTAATTGTAATGAAATTACTTGAGCAGTGAATGAAGATATGTATCAAGATCCGTATCAAGTTAGCTTAATTAAGTGAGAGTAGAACTACTAACTTTTTACAGAATGAAGTTCAGACAATTAGATTAAAAGTTATCCAAAAAGAACATCCTTGCAAGACTTTTGAAACACCCTGCAGATGTGTATTAAATATGTTCTGAAGTTTCCTTACTATATACTACCAAGCCTCTAATAACTCAATTACAAATAAAGTACATTTAAATCTAATAACGGTCGATAATTGAATTAGATTATTAAATAGTAGTATTTAGTAGATCTACTGAAATACACGTAGTTTAAATGTTGATTTATTTTAGACATCATATCAACATTTGACACATTCTAAATAACACTAATATTAATTAATAATAGCATTCCCTAAATATTTCAGCCTGTTATTGGAGTAAAACACCCTTCTAAAGCGAGGTTATTTGTTATTACTGGCCCTGTCGGACCGTACTACGAACAAAAAGGTATACACATCAAGATCTATACAACTTAATTAAACTATATATATAATTAATTAATTAGTTTAATTAAGCTCTATACAACTTAATTAAACTATATATATAATTAATTAATTAGTTTAATTAAGCTCTATACAACTTAATTAAACTATATATATAATTAATTAATTAGTTTAATTAAGCTCTATACAACTTAATTAAACTATATATATATAATTAATTAATTAGTTTAATTAAGCTCTATACAACTTAATTAAACTATATATATAATTAATTAATTAGTTTAATTAAGCTCTATACAACTTAATTAAACTATATATATAATTAATTAATTAGTTTAATTAAGCTCTATACAACTTAATTAAACTATATATATAATTAATTAATTAGTTTAATTAAGCTCTATACAACTTAATTAAACTATATATATAATTAATTAATTAGTTTAATTAAGCTCTATACAACTTAATTAAACTATATATATAATTAATTAATTAGTTTAATTAAGCTCTATACAACTTAATTAAACTATATATATAATTAATTAATTAGTTTAATTAAGCTCTATACAACTTAATTAAACTATATATATGATTAATTAATTAGTTTAATTAAGCTCTATACAACTTAATTAAACTATATATATAATTAATTGATTAGTTTAATTAAGCTCTTTACAACTTAATTGAACTAATAATTCGGAACATCTTTACCCAAACTACATTAGATGATGATATTAAAACCTACTGTATCTCTATAGTTATAACCTAAACTCCTGGCAGGTACGGAACTGTTCAAGTCTATAAAACTGATGGCAGATCCTCAGTATGTAAGAGCTTGGGAAGGTGGGATCGGAGCTTTCAAGGCTGGAGGGTAAGTATTTTACTGGTATTCTTGTGTTAAACTCTACAATGCTACTGATATCCTTAATATCTAAGGTATGTATTATCACGGTTTAATTGCCATGTATCGAGATTTATAGTTTACACGTTAACACATCTACAGGAACTATGCACCAACAATACACATACAGAAGATCGCCCAGACCCAAGGGTGTCAACAAGTTCTGTGGCTGTACGGTGATAACAAACAGATGACAGAAGCAGGAACCATGAACTTTCTTATCTACTGGATCAATAGCGACGGAGGTATGTCTGAAATGTTAGAACTATTCATTGTTTTGGAACTTGATCAACGTAACTTGATGAGGTTGTAATGTATAAGCGTAGCACGTAAGAGGAGTTGAGCTGTTATATTGCTATGATTATTGACTGTTTTCACCTTGTTATCATGATTGAAGTGCTTACAATCTTTATTTAATTTTTTATTAAATGTTATGCTTGGATTGAGGTATGCTTGCTTGGTATTTGTAATCTTATTACAAGCAGATTTGGTGAGGGTCTACATTTTATTGTACATGTAGCGCGCTATATCATTCGTTAATGAGTACAGCGCGCGAAACTCGACTCGCGCGCGGGGCGCGCACTGCGATCGATTATTATACATATCACTCGACGCGATCATGACTATCGATCGCCGTTATCAACATTTATTACGTAGCCCAACAACTATAATAAATATTTCAGAAAAAGAGCTGATAACTGCACCTCTGGACAGTGGGCTGATTCTTCCTGGCGTGACACGGCAGAGTGTTCTGGATATGGCTAGAGAATGGGTTAGTTATTTAGTGTAAACCTGTCAACTGCTACTTCTGTATAATTATGACGAATAGTATTATACAATAGTATTCTGAGCCCTTGGTGTGATTTGAAGATTACAGTTGGACGATTGGACACCTAAGTGGGACTACTATTTAGTCTACTTGAGAATGGTTTGCGGGTAATAACCGTAAATATTTGTTGAGACGTAGCTCAGCTTGACTTTATCAGTGTTTATTTACCAGGGAGAATTCAAAGTAACGGAGAGAATGGTAACGATGCCTGAGTTTATAAAAGCAGCTGATGAGGAGAGAATTATAGAAGTATTTGGAGCTGGTACAGCCTGCATGATCGCTCCTATAGACTGCATTCTCTACGAGGGACAGGTTAGTTGGGGGGGGGGGGGGGGGGGGGGGGGGGCCTTAGTTTCACAAGCTCTCAGTTGTTTTTTTGTCTTGAGATACTCCGAGTGTTTCCTATGAAATCACCTGTTATCACTTGTGTGACAGTCACATTATATTATGGGTATTGAGATCCACACGTTTTATTGTTGTTGTCTTATGTGGCGTTACATATCCCTTGAACATGTTAGCTATTGTGTTTACCTGATTGTGTTTACCAAAGTTTTAATTCCTCAGGATATCAATTTACCCACCATGACTAGTGGGGCTAAGTTATCTAAAAGATTGTTCGAAGAATTGACTGCTATTCAGGTTGGTAACAGTGATTTTAATTTACATTCTTTGAACTGAATTACCACTCCTAGATTTTCATTCGGAATAATTTCGTAGCTTGTTTAATCATTGACTAAACTCACTTTCAGACGGGTAAAGTTGAACACTCCTGGTCCCAAAGTATCTACACCTGAGCTGACTCTACGTTTGTTTTCACTAAAATTATATGGTAGTGTATGAAAAAATGTGTTTATAGACTTTAATATTATGTATTTTTGGGCAGATGTAATATTCCCGAAGTGTCTGTTAGGATTTAGGATATAAATATATATGCTGTTATGTTTTCGTTTTGTTATTCTAGTTGACTAGTCGGATTATTGAAGTTTGTAGTAGCTGTTATAGTTTAGTGCCATTTTGGGACGAACTTCCAGAGGAGCTCATCAAAATCGTAAAATTATTTGTATTTCAGTTTAAATCTTATTTGTATGAACTTTTGGTACTTTTCATAATATTGGACAGTTTATAGATATTGCTGTAGCTGTATGGAGTTGTCCATATTAGTGACATATGTGTACATATTATATTAAAGTCATTATTGTAACGGTATATTAGAACCAGACAGAAACAAAGTGTGAAGGGCCTGAACGGAACCCCTCGGTTTGTGTTTGTTTAGGGAATGGCATGCAACAGAAATGTGCAATTTGCTGATGAATCTTGGGGCGAAGCAATCGTACGGGTAAATACGAGCAAGCTCGGAAATGGTGTTAAAGGCTATTGTTCTCATCAACATTGTACTGTTGCAAGCCATTATTGTAGCAACTCATCTGTTGTAACCCTCAGTAACTAGCGCAGGAGTACTATACCAGTACAGACTGCTGGAGTTGCTTACATTTTTATTAGGTTTAAATTATTACAAACTTTAAAGTTAGTATGCTATCTGTAAATACATATAATATATAGACGCTTGTACCGTACATATTTTATTAGAGTTCTTGCGTTTAAACCGTCTTATGGTTGGAGGTGCTAGTTGTTTAGTTAGGAAAAGCATATTATTATTTCAACACAGTACATACACAGTAAAATATTCCGAAGGGCCACCTTCGGAATATTTTCAAAATAAAGGATACAGTTTAACGTACACATAGTGTGTAACAGGACTGTATCAGTATATAGTATCTTAGCGACCTTTTTAATTTGCAAAAATTAAAGTGTCCCAAAACCGTTATTTTTTAGTTGTGGAAAGTCTAGTAGGAGTGTCTTTGATTTTTCCAGGCCGAAATTTCTTTATTAAATTATCTGAACGAATTTGTAGTTTATATGCCCGTTTTTTGTGAAATACAGTTATACTTATATCGTATTATTAATAAAAGGGAACTTTTCATTTCTTAGTTCACTCCGCAAAAATTCATAAACACAAAAAGCCGATGCACTAATATACTTATTTGTTATTGAAATTCGGCTTCTACTGATCATCATGGGTTATGTGTTCCGTACAACATCTCCGTCGATAAAATAACAACATAATCGCGATGTCGATGGATAGATACCACGTGTGCTATTTCATAGAAGGATTGAAGACTGAAGTTAATATATAATATAGCCAACAGTATGTCACAGAATATAAGAAATATGTTGCGGTGCAATCTGGATATTGCCTGTAAGTACAGTAGCGGTCCAACTTCCAAGTTACTTCAACCGGGTGCATCGGGCACAGGTCAGTGCACTGAATTAATTCATACTAAATATTAGAGGTAAAGCGCGCGTCGTGGCAAGCACGCCGTCTACCCCATTGCTTTTAATGCGCGCAACAAAACTTTTACTAGAATATTTATTTAGCGCGTTTCAACCAACACTACTCTGATATTTTCTACAAATTACCAGGATCAAATTTAAGCGTATTGAAAATTATTGTGCAGCCTAATTATCAGTCTAATTATCGCACTGGTAGTTTTGCAGAGGTTTCCTTTGGACAGGTGAACCAATCGAAGGACCCTGAATGGAGGCAAAATCTTTAATGTTAACAGAGAAATATTAACTAAAACGACAATTTTTCCCCCCATTTTTTGTAAATTTCCGTCAGTTAATAAGCCTGATATTCTGGTTTACTGAGAGACTGAGAGATATATCCAAAGCGTTTGTTACGTCCTATTGTGCACCGGACAGTAATTCAAACATAGCGTTATTTCTCGATATCTCTAATATCATAACTCACAAGTGATAAAGTAATTTCAATGAATATCAATAATAGTGTGTTAAAGAAATACCATGCAACAAGTTAGTAAAATACGATCAAAAGTCATGACTATTTTTAACATCCAGAACAACTACCACTTTTTAAGGGATAACTGAATTACGTAAAACATTTTAAAAACACGTAAAACTGTAAAAATGATCTCATATGTTTGTACGTCAAAAGCATTTTAAAGACATTATCATTTTATTCGGACGATAAACTCCATTACAGGATTCATTCAAATATGACAGATATTTATTGCGTAGAAATTAAACTTACATTTTCCTATATTTCAGATCCACCCCGGCACACCTAGGTGAAATGCGAATGATCCCCAAGTTGTTGGTCACCTCATAAAATATTAAGTAACGAGTCGCTCTGTATATTTTTATTTTAAAATCACCTTTTTGAAAACTGATGAGCACATTCCATCACTGTTTAGATACATTTTTCAAATAATTATCATTCATAGATTGGGCAAAAATAACAACAAAACCGCGCCCACCAAAGTTGTTGAAAATCTACAATATTAACCTAATAACAACACCTCGGCCGGATTATCTAAGAACGAAACACCAAAAATTAATTTTCCCAAATCTAACAGATAATTGAACAGCAATTCATCATGCCTGTAATGTAACCCATACCATCGCCACATGTACAACAAGGTAACACATGTAAAATAGAACAACTTGCGAAGTACCTACCATTATGAGCTGATTACATTACTTAATACTTACGTATCACAAGCATATAAATAAAAGTTATGTAAGTAATTCAATAGTTAACTACTCGTTCGATGAAAGAAATAATATTCGTAATAAATACAGTATTATATTATCATAATTCTGATAGGAAATAAATGAGACAAAGGTGATTTGTACAGAGGATCGTCTTCTAATATACGAGCAACCAAATATTGATCCAATTTACTGACCGTACATAATCAGTTCATCGAGCTGCAGCGCGCAGGCCCATGGGTGACTTGAGGCGATTTAAGTCGATATTAGTCGACATATGGGCTGACCCCACGCCTCTAATACCACCTATATTTCCGGAGGATACTGGGTGTTCTCCAGTATGGTACCTGACTTCACAGACCCCTCTAATAACACCTATATTTCAGGAGACCGGGGTGTTCTCCATATGGTACCTGACGTCACAGACCCCTCTAATAACACCTATATTTCAGGAGGATACGTGATCTCCTGTATGGTACCGGAACTTCACGGACCCCTCTATAACACCTATATTCAGGAGGATACTGGGTGTTCTCCAGTATGTACCTACTTCACTGACCCTCTAATAACACCTAATTTCCAGAGAACTGGGGTGATCCTCCAGTAATGGTACCTGACTTCACAGACCCCTCTAATAACACTTATATTTCAGGAGTATACCTGTGAGTTCACCAGTATGGTACCTGACTTCACAGACCCCTCTAATAACCCTATATTTCAGGAGATACTGGGTTACTCCAGTATGGTAACTGACTCACGACCCCACTAAATAACCCTATATTTCAGGAGGATACTGGTGTTCTCCAGATTGGACCTGACATCACAGACCCCTCTAATAACACCTATTTTCAGGAGATACTAGGAGTGTCTCCAGTATGGTACCTGACTTCACAACCCCTCTAATACACCTGATATTGCAGGATGATACTGGGTGTTCTCCAGTATGGTTACCTGACTTCACAGACCCCACTAAGACACTCTCATATTTCAGAGGATACTGGGGTTCTCCAGTTGGTAACCGACTTCACAGACCCCTCGAATACACTTATATTTCAGAGTATAACTGGGTGTTCTCCAGTATGGTACCTGACCTTCACAGACCCCTCTAAATCACCTATATTTCCATGAGGAATACTGGTGTTCTCCCAGTTGGACTGACTTCACAGACCCCTCTAATAACACCTATATTTCAGGAGGATACTGGGTGTTCTCCAGTATGGTACCTGACTTCACAGACCCACCCTCTAAATAACCTATATTTTCAGGAGGAAACGGGGTGTTCTCCAGTATGGTAACCTACTTCACAGAAAACCCCCCCCTCCCTAATAACACCTATATTTCAGGAGATACTGGGTGTTCGCCAGTATGGTACCTGACTTCACAGACCCCTCTAATAACACCTATATTTCAGGAGGATACTGGGTGTTCTCCAGTATGGTACCTGACTTCACAGACCCCTCTAATAACACCTATATTTCAGGAGGATACTGGGTGTTCTCCAGTATGGTACCTGACTTCACAGACCCCTCTAATAACACCTATATTCAGAGGATACTGGGGTGGTTCTTCCATTATGGTACCTACATCACAGACCCTCTAATAACACCGATGTTCAGGAGGATACTGGGTGTTTCTCCATATGGTACCTGACTTACACAGACCCCTCTAATAACACCTAAATTTCAGGATGATACTGTGTTCTCCAGTATGGGACCTGACTTCACAACTCCCTCTAATAACACCTAAATTTCAGGAGGATACTGGTGTTTCTCCAGTATGGTACCTAGACTTCACAGACCCACAAATAACACCTATATTTCAGGAGGATACTGGGTGTTCTCCAGTATAGTACCTGACTTCACAGACCCCTCTAATAACACCTATATTTCAGGAGGATACTGGGTGTTCTCCAGTATGGTACCTGACTTCACAGACCCCTCTAATAACACCTATATTTCAGGAGGATACTGGTGTTCTCCAGTATGGTACCTGACTTCACAGACCCCCTCTATAACACTATATTTCAGGAGGATACGGTGTTCTCGCAGTATGGTAACCTGACTTCACCAGACCCCTCTAATAAACACCTATATTTCAGGGGATACTGGGTTTCTCCAGTATGGTACCTACTTCACAGACCCCTCTAAGAACACCTATTTTTCAGGAGGATACTGGTTGTTCTCCAGTTATGGTACTGACTTCACAACTCCTCCTAATAACACCTATATTTCAGGAGGATACTGGGTGTTCTCCAGTATGGTACCTGACTTCACAGACCCCTCTAATAACCCTAATATTTCAGAGGAATACTGGTTCTCCAGTAAGGTACCTGACGTTCACAGACCCTCTAATAACACCTATATTTCAGGAGGAAACTGGGGTGTTTCTCCTGTAGGTACCTGACTTCCACAGCACAACCCCTCTAATAACACCTATATACAGGAGGATAACTGGTGTTCGCCAGGATGGTACCTACCTCACAGACCCCTCTAATAACACCTATATTTCAGGGATACTGGGGGGGGGGATCGGTGTTCTCCAGTATGGTACCTGACTTCACAGACCCCTCTAATAACACCTATATTTCAGGAGGATACTGGGTGTTCTCCAGTATGGTACCTGACTTCACAGACCCTCTAATCCACCTATAAGTTCAGGAGGATACGGGTGTTTTTCTCCAGTATGGTACCTGGCTTCACAGACCCCTCTAATAACACCTAGATTGCAGTAGGATACTGGTGTTCTCCAGTAGGAACCTGACTCACAGACCCTCCTAATAACACCTATATTTCAGGAGGATTCTGGTTTCTCCATTATGTACCTGACTTCACAGACCCCTCTAATAACACCTATATTTCAGGAGGAACTGGGGTGGTTCTCCAGTATGGTACCTGATTCACAGACCCCTCTAATCAACACACTAAATTCAGAGAAACTGTGTTCTCCAGTATGGTACCTACTTCATGACCCCTCTAATAACCCCTAATATTTTCAGGATGATACTGTGTGTTCGCCAGTATGGTACCTGACTTCACAGACCCCTCTAATAACACCTATATTTCAGGAGGATACTGGGTGTTCTCCAGTATGGTACCTGACTTCACAGACCCCTCTAATAACACCTATATTTCAGGAGGATACTGGGTGTTCTCCAGTATGGTACCTGACTTCACTGAACCCCTCTAATAACACCAAATTCAGGAGATACTGGTGTTCTCCAGTATGGTAACCTGACTACTCAGACCCCTCTAAAAACACCTATATTTCAGGAGGAATGGGTGTCTCAGTATGGTACCTGACTTCACAGACCCCTCTAATAACACCTATATTTCAGGAGGATACTGGGTGTTCTCCAGTATGGTACCTGACTTCACAGACCCCTCTAATAACACCTAT